GTATTTATATTAAATTTCTATTCAGTAATATAAAGACAATTGATATCGACCACGAACTTTTCGAAAAACCCTCGTATATCAATAAATGAAGGAAAGAAACAGAATATTGTTAAATTTGATAAATATAGGATCTCCCATGATTTGTAGTTGGATATGATTTTTACCCAACGAGTTGTGTGATTTTTATCCCCGAGCCTTGGCGAGGGGATAAAAACACACAACGAGTTGGATAAAAATCATATCCAACTACAAAACATGGGAGATTCTTTTTATCCCATGTTTAATACTTCACAACCGATGTTTAACACTGTTTTATATAGGACTCTGCTATATTTTACTTCCTCTCGCTAACGCAAAAATCATATCCAACTACAAAACATGGGAGATTCTTTTTATCCCATGTTTAATACTTCACAACCGATGTTTAACACTGTTTTATATAGGACTCTGCTATATTTTACTTCCTCTCGCTAACGCAAAAACCGTTGTGACGTCATAACTGCACTTAAGTGTGGGATATGAAAACGATTTCCCATGAGCTATATCCAGGGGATAAAGGTTCAAACATGGGATAAAAGAAGATTCCTTCGTTTTTTTGAAAGTACACATGTAATTACGAAGAAAAAAGTACTACATGTGCACATAGAGTGTATTTTGGACACATAAGGCACCCATGTATGTATTAAGATCAAAGGACCGTGGTGATGGAATTTTCACATTCAAAATGTATTGTCACATTTACTATAAGAATCATTGCTTAATGGACAAAAAAATCATATCTAATTTTTTTTTATCAGTTTTTTTCTCTAAACTTAAGTGCTTTTCTTTCTCCAAAAAAATCTCTGGTGCAGCCTTATCATAACTCTAATATTGAAACTCAACAATATTTTTTTTTATATGTGGAACGATTTAAGAATTTGACAATTATGCATTACTGAAAATGTAAAAAAAAAAAGAAAAAGAAATAACCTGTTTATGTAATTTATCACCAAGTTTAAGACATGAACTGTTTTTGTCGTCACATTTTTCTGGAATGGAACTTTTAAATTTAAAAATAATTACATGTAACACAAAACATATTTCAGTTTAAAAATCTCAGTTTCCTTGCCTTAATAGTTGCTGCCTAATCACAGTAGTCGTATTCAACTTTATGTGTATGAAACGTTACAGGTCATAATAAGTTTGGACAAATTATGAAAAAAGAGATTTTTAATACTGTAGCTATTTTCAAAAACACTTATGACAATTTAAATATCTGGGGTATTTTTTCCTTGAAAGAAATAATAAGAGTAAATCTAATTTTACCAGGTATTTAATTGAATGTATGCAATAAACAGATAAACAAGGGAAATTGTCCACCAGAATCTGAAGATTCAAAATTTTCTCCATCATGTCGAAAAAAAGATCAAATTGAACACCTTGTTCCCAAACAGATTGTTTGAAGAGTTCCATGGCCCATGAAGCTTCACGCACATTTTATCTATTTTGTTGGGAATTATAAGTATAGGTCTTGTAATACAATATTGAACTGGATATCCAATGGATTCCCTTGTGTTATATTCTGTGAAGGTATATTTACTATTTTAATCGAGTTTGCAAGCATGTTATGCCAAATCTTATACGTATCAGGAACAGGAATTCGTCCTTAATGCAGCATCCAGTAAGGGAACTTAATGCTGCATCCAATAAGGGACTTACATGTAATGCTGCAACCAATATGGGACCGTGCGATGATCCTGTCTACGTCTTTTATGGTCGGGATACCTCCAATTTTCAAAATGGCTACCACTACGTAAACCATTACAAGTCTTCAATGCAGGTTTCCGCTTTCCAAGATTAAATTTTGTGCTCTCTTTCTCCAGGTTACCAACAATCACTTGCTGCAAAATTAATTTGTCTTCCGAAGTAAGTATGTTGCGTCTGCAAACGTTTCTAACAAACATATCTAGATCCATGAACTGAAAACGGACTCGATACACTGCGTCTCCTATCTGATTTCTGATATTTTCATCCGACTTCTCATGACCTTTCACCTCACACTGACCTTCACCCCAACTTATCAGAAAATGGTAAACTTTTAACTCCTCAATTTCTAGGTTGTCTGAGGATAAAATTTCCTTTAAGGTGTCCTTACTTATCTGTAAGAAAATCGGTAATTGTAAAATGATTGAGCACTTTTCATTTATAAATTCCATACATTTTTTAGTCAGACGTTCTAAGTGAAATAACTTGGCATTTTCCAAAAATGTACAAACAGTCTCCGTTGTTATGTTCTGTTTAAAGTATGATACTGTCTCTTTTTTCAACGCCTCAATATCGTATTTCTCAGCAGCGTAGAGCGCCCCGATGACAGTTTTTTTATTTACCTCTACTTCGCCACAATACACAAATCTGCAATTTAATGGGAAAAAAGAATGCTTGCATAAATACATATGTGCATTTTAATTTTAATAAAACAAGATGAAAGTTTCAAATACATTTTGCAGTAATAATTAAACGGTGAATTTTAATCATCTTTGGCTTAAAGGAATCAATTTCGTTTTGGGTTGAGCTCATATTGGTAAGATACTTGCATATACTTTTAATCACAAAATTCAAACATTTATTAGTGTAAGAGATAAAAGTCGATATAATTTTATTTCTAAATGCATTATGGTCTTGGTAATCTAGTTACATGTATTCATGACTTAAAACCTACTATATTGTAGGAGATATATTTCATAAATTGAACAAAAATCTTTTCCTAGCCACTAAACGAAATTTTATTTAGGTCAGTGCAAGGTAAAACAAGATAAATGTGTTAAAAACGAACGATAAAAAAGACAGTTGACGACGAAAAGCTAATTAAAAGACGTTTGCCATACAATTTATCATTCAAAATCCATTGTGATAATGCTTTTACAAAGTTCAATGTCTGCGTAGGAGTGGCCTGACAGAAAAGGAGTAAGGTTGTTTAAATATCATTAAAATCAATTTAACCTTCTTATGGCATATTTAAAACAAAAAGGACATTTTGCTATAAATTAAAACCATTTTTATCATAAAATAAAATTTATTTAGAAATATAAAATATAAAATATTCAAACATGTGTCCCCACACTATTATATATTTCTTATGTTTAATTTCAAGGTTCATTAATGTTCTTCATATATAATATGAATGATTAAAAATATTAAAATTGTCTTTGAGCATTCCTTAGCATTACTGAAGTTGAAAGCAAACTCTTCACTACACTGTATTTCTCTCAACTCATTCGATTTGTAAATATACGTTCTTGGTATGTCTATTTTTAATAACTCACTCAAAGCACATTCAAATAAGTAGATGTTAATTATAGGGTTTATAACTATATTCTTCATTATAAGTATTTTGCTAATTAATTTTCGTTATAATGACCAAATTTGTATTTGGTAATTATTTGACTGACATGTTTCACAGAATTTTATTGCATGATTGTGTTAGTGGTTTTAATTTTTACGATGACGGGTTCAATACAGAGGGACATGGAAAAGCTTTCTTCACCAGTTTTAACCCGCCGTGTGTTCATGGTATGTGAATTTTTCAGGATCAAGAGTGATATTATTATTTAGAAATGACTTTACAACAAAAGGAGTATTGCTCAATTATTTATTTGCCCCCTTAAACGAAGTTTCGGGTGTATATAGTTTTTGTCGTGTCTATCTGTCTGTCTGTCGTACTTCACATATGTAATCCTTGTAAGAAGATGCTTCATTAGATACCAAGAGCTTTGACCTTTTGACCCTGAAGTTTGACCTACTTTCAAAAAATAAACCTTGATAAGAGCTAATGCTTTCATATTTTAAATATTTAATCCATGTGACAAGACCTTTCATTTGATATTGAGACCTTTCACCTTTTGACCTTGACCTTAGAGTTTGACCTACTTTTAAAAAATCTTTACCTTGGCCATAACTTTTGAACGGTTAGGGCTAGAGCTTCCATACTTCACGTAGCAAGAGCAATTAATGGATACCAATAACCTTGACCTTTTAACCTTGACCTTGGAGATTTCCGGAGTTTTAAAAAAAAATTAACCTTGGCAATAACTTTTGAAGAGTAAATGCTAGGGCTTTCATACTTCACATACGTAATTCTTCTGACAAGACCTTTCAGTCATTACCAATAACCTTGACCTTCTGACCTTGATCTTGGAGTTTTACGTACTATAATATTTTTTTAACCTAGGTCAAATCTTTTGAATGGTTAGAGCTACAGCTTCCATACTTCAAATATGTTATCTTTGTGGAAAGACCTTTCATAGGATACCAATAACCTTGACCTTATGACCTTGATCTTGAAGATTTATGAACTTATGAAAAAACTTTAGCTTGGCCATAACTTGCGAACAGATAGGGCTTACAATACAATTGTATATCCAGTTAGGAGACTCTACTCTTGGTACTAATATATTAAGTTTGCATCTTAGAAAAGTTTTATCTTCACTATGTTGCCATACGGGGGCATCAGTGTTTCACAAACACATCTTTTTCCATTAATTCTTTCATGTAATTATTCTAATGAATATACTAGTATTCAAAAGATTTTTTTATTACTATGTAAAGTTTTCGATCTACATGAAAACATTTTTTCCCTATATAATTACAAGTATCAATAAAAAATGATAATTGTCGTCTTATATATATCTCTAAGGGTTTCCGTTGTAAATACATTGAGCTGAAAACGAAAGTAAAAAAATAAATAATATATAAAAAAAAAATGGAAATAGTATTTACCAATGTAAACAGTAATATCCAATAACATGCATATTTTCACCCTTAAGACTTATGATACGTAACAGGAAGTAGGTTGCGCTTGCCTCTTAAAAAAATCATTTATACTTTTAATGAATTGAATTAAACTTGAAAATATTACAAAGGAATTGGGATAGATCAACGAGTTGATATATATCAATTGTGAAGCCAATGTTAAATAATCACTCTCATAAAAATACACAAAAATTTAAGTTTAAAATGCTTACCTTTCGTCCTTTGGCAAACAAATGCATGTAAACTACGATTAAACATCTGGGTTATATAAGGTTAGTTTTCTTTCGAGAGTTGCCGATCTTTTGATTCAGTATATTCATAAATTTATACATCACTTTACAAGTGCTGACTTTCAGATATTGATTTTAAAAAATCTGAATTGCGTTTTCTGAGTTTGAATTTTGTATTTGTGGTGCATATGCATGTTATTTTATAGACGAAAAAATAATGTATGCACTCTTAATAATAATTAATAATAAATCATGTTCAAGTATTTTAGTATCCGAAAATAAAACAAATTTCTTTATTTACATGTATATGTTTTTTGAATTTCTTTACTAAATAAATAAAAAAATGAACTCAAATATATACAACCGTTTGCATACACACAAAACACTTACATTCACAGACATATAAGAACAGTATTTCAAATATAATTTCTAATATGTATATATACAGAAAATGATTTTTGAAATTCCGACACCCCCCCCCCCCACACACAGACATATCAGATAATTCTACGAGTTAAAGATAAGATGATTTTTTTTGTCTGGAAGCCCCCTTCCCCGCCCAAACTACTATTATGGTAAGCAAACAGGCAAAAGGATTACTTAGTATAATAAATTGTTAATGTATAGCTGCAATACAAATAAAAAAAATCATAACACACAATGAGCATAAAAAAATTGTATTTACATAGCACAGAATTTAATACTCTGGTGAATTAATGGATGCAAGTTTAAATATTGAAATAAATGCATGGATGGCTGCATAAATAAAATACATGTAATTACAAGATATGATAAATTATTAAAATAAATACAGAATTTATGCCTAAATTCCAATTTAATGTAAATAAAAAAGTTAATTATAGAATCTGTGGCTGATTGATGAATTCATAATTTGTCAACACGTTAATAGTTAAAATATACATTTTAAAATGTATATTTCACATAATTAAGGATGTATAAAATGTTTAATTCACATAAATACGGATTTTCATATGAAATTATGTTTAATTATGATCTTAGAGTTTTCAAATTTTGAAATTTCATTTTTTCTCGTTCGACAAATCATGTTATGGGTAAGGGGCCTATGTTAACGGTCAACCAAGAATTTCTTCCCTTTAATGACATCACATCCCGTTTCTGAGTGTTCTAGAGGTCCGTGTTTAATGTTTAACTTCATTAATAATGTTTTCTGTCATTTTATGTGATAAGAATTTACTTATATCGGGGTATTTGAAATAAATTGCAATATAAAGATTATTTAATCATTTCTATGGTGTACATGTAAATTTCTTCATTGGTCTATTGTTTTTCTTAAAAAAAATACTGCTTATAATTGATTATAAATGGTAGCAATCATTTATAGTTTCAAATTAAATCTGTAAATAGGAAATAGTAATGATATTGAAAAAAAAATCCCACATTAATTTTAGAGTTTTAGACACCCATTATAATTTCGTAAAACTTTTAAATAAGTTTTCTCACGACATACAATTATTCTTAAAACTAAACAAAAAAAAGATATTGATATTTTTCCTAAATCATTTTTTACACTTTGATCAATCCCTAATAACAAAGATTGAAAACTTCTGCACAGAATTATTTCATTTGTTCGCAAAACCCTGATTATTTGTTAGTTGTTTGAATTCGTAGTATTTTTTCCTTGAATCAATCTGTAAATGTTGATAAAAAAAGAAAAAAAAACGAGGACACTCGGAAACACTTACAAACTAAGCGCCAACTTTTGTTTGAAAAAGAAAAGTGGTGATTCTATTCATCTTGAATGAATGTCGATAATGTAGGATAGTATGATAAAATAAAGGAAAAGTAAAAAAAAAATTGCAACAAAGAAATTTTGAGGTCGATGAAAAGAGTGTGCTTTTTGAATAGATATTTCCTGGCGTATTGTATTTTTGACCTATTTAGGTGTTATTTATTAATTTATCGCAAACTTTTTAGAATCTGAAAGAATATGGGCTTAAAATGTTAGTATATGTGTCTATAAATGAAATAAAATAACCCAAATTTCAGTTTTGTGTTTATTATTTTTATATGCCATAATATGGAGAGGGTACATTTTTCATTACAAAAATATCAGTGTCTTGTGTTTTCGACCTAAATATAATATCAACGCCCAATCAGTATTGGCTATAAATATCCACTGGATAATCAAAACAATAAAAACACGATTGTCTGTCTTTCAAAAAAAAAACTTTCCCGTGGGAATCCGGGTTAGAATAGGTCCTCAGTACCCCCTTGCTTGTCGTAAAAGGCGACTAAATGGGGCGGTCCTTCGGATGAGACCGTATAAACCGAGGCCCCGTGTAACAGCAGGTGTGGCACGATAAAGATCCCTCCCTGCTCAATGGCCCTGAGTGCCGAGCATAGGCCTAAATTTGCAGCCCTTCACCGGCAATGGTGACGTCTCCATATCAGTGAAATATTCTGGAGAGGGACGTTAAACAGTATACAATCAATCAATCAATCAAAAAAAAAAACATTGAACAAGTTGCATATTTTGGTTGCGAATACATTTATTTGTTGGTTGAACCCATCTGTCAGTAGCTGTGCATTTCCCCAAACAATCAATGAAATATCGTTGCATTTTTCAGTAAAATCTTTAAGAAAGTGCTCATATTTAAGGACGAAAAAAAAACTATTTGATCCACCCATTCATTTTAATATTCTGGCGTCTCTTTGACAGAGATCTTAATTTTCTTACGGCTTTGATTAATTAACAGATAAAATGTGCATAAGTAAAAAGGCTACAATTTCTGACATCGGACTAAAACCATCGGGGGAATTCCGTTGAATTAATTATTTTGGGTATTTTCACTACAGTTGTGCTTCAAAGGTATTTTTCCAAGTGTAGCAACCGAAAATAATGTTCTACCACGTGGAATCTGCACGGGAAGCAGATTTGGAAAAATAGTTTGAAAACACAATACAGTCGAAAACAGGATACGAGACGATATTTAAGTATTATAATGAAGAAAATATCTCCGTAAGCCTAACATTATTTTGTGTAAGGTCACTATGATACATTGACATCCACTGAATATTTCTCCTTTATTTCTTATGAAGACCATTATTATTAATCAGTGCATAACCGACTTTTTGCAGCCACATGCACAGATTTCTTGAAAAATGTTTGTTTCATCAGTTATCATACAATATTCAATTTTTCTTTGAATGTTTATTCATACAGATGAACAATCAAATGTCTTTTTTGTTTGTTAGAACGGAAAGTAACGCCGAAGCTATTTCATAAAAAATTACAAAACCCTCTTATTCAATATTGAGAGTTATTATTTTTTTGCATCCAGTGCGGCAATAATCCCTGTACTACTAACCAAAGAACGAATATGATTATCTAAAAAACTTAAACAATATTGAATGGAATTTCATTGTGTTGAACAAGTTGTAAGACATTCATTTCGGTTAAAAGAAAGACTTGGATAAATTTGGGAATATGGAATTAAGTCATTTTGGTGTAAAAAAAACAATTTTAAAATATTAACAACCAGTTAGCATTTACTTATTTCATTTTAATGTTGCGAATGCAAGATGAGATCATTCCATGCTTACGTTCTTTAATGAAGCTAATCGATCGCAACTTTTGCATATAGCAGTCAGTAATATTATTACTTCTCTTAAAGATAAAAAATAAGAAACAAATTTAAAATAGATACATGAGGCATTTCATGAGGCAATAATGTAAAACATATATTAAAGCTGACATGAACTCTTAAAAAGGCATTAGTTTTCATCTTTGTACGACTTACTACATTCCTGTACGCCCTTGTCCGCCAT